TTTTTTTTTTTTTTTTTTTTATTCTTAATTTTTTCTATTTAAATGTATTGGCATTATTGCCCTTACCCTTCAACGATAGAATAATTATGATTTTTGATCACGATGTGACATCTTAACATAATTATTTATAGGTTAAGTCTTTGTATATAATTTTCTTCAATAAGTCCCACGGAAACGCGTCACGGTTCTTTCCGTCATCTCGTTCAGTGGGACGAGGACAACGTAAGAACCAATATAATTAAATTTTAAATTAGTGATGACGAGAATGAAAAATATCTCGTTTTCAAATAGTTTTTTTTTATTTTATGTTTAAGTTTGATGTATAAAATAGTAGTACCTATTTTTAAGTATACATAAGTTATTTTAGGTTGAAATTAACAAATTACGAATCGTCTGAATTAGATCGTGCTCTTTGTTATAATAGTGATGTATAGGATAAGTTTTTTTTTTTTTGGCTATTTATGATTAAAAAAAAAAAAAAATAATCTCATGGATTTTGTAATTATTAATTCTTAGCGGTTAAGTATTAAAAATAAGAAAATTACGGTTTAACACGTAAAAAGAAAACACATGGATAAATATTAGATATCCACGAAATCGCTAACTGGTTCGCTACGTCTTACTATCGTTTCGTGGATGTAAGTTTAGGCTAAGTCTACTTTAAGTTTGATTTTGATTTTTTTTTCCAAATTATTTCTATTTAAATGTATTGGCATTATTGCCCTTACCCTTCTTTAATTAAATAATTATGATTTTTGATTACGGTATGACATCGTTAAACTGGCTATTCGTTATAAATTCATAATTATTTATAAGTTAAGTCTTTGTATATAATTTTCTTCACCACCTATTAAGTTCCGCGGAACGCGTCACGGTTCGTTCCGTCGTCTCGTTCAGTGGAATATTAAAAATATAGGCCAAATATGAGTTTCATAGTGTTGATCGTGTACTGGCGAAGAAAACGCAAAGTTGATCAACTGATAAGTTCTGTTAGTTAACAAATAAGGAATCATCTGAAACACCTTGTTTATAGAAATATCTATTATTTTAATAATTGTCAAGGGTTTGATGTTAAGAATTTAGAAACCCACTAAACCGCGTCCCGATTTGCATCGGCAACTTTAGTGGGTGTAAGTTTAAACTAAGTTAGGCTAAGTTAAGACTAAGGTTATGATTTTTATTTATTTTTTTTCGACTGTATAGACAAACTAGCCATTGCTTTCGCCGTAATTATATTCAAATTAAATAATTATATTTTCCAATCCCGATTGTTATTAAAATATAATTTTTAGGTCAATTTTCTGTTAATAATAATTTTCAATAATAAATTCTCCGATTAGGTAAAGATAACTTTGTCAATAATTCCATAAGTTAATTTATTAATAAATCTAAATTAACCTAAACTAATTTAAAACTATGTTTGATTTCTTTTTATAGATTATTATATATTAGGCTTATTGATATTAATGTTAATTTTTTTTTTGAAAAAGTCAAATCAGATAATTATTGATTTTGATCAATACGTGACTTCAAATAGTTATTCGTTATCAAAACATAATTCGTACGTTTTGTAAATAATAAATCATTCTATTAAGGTTAAGTTTATAGATTTTAAATTCTAGAAATATTTATTTTAAAGTAGGCAAATTAAATACATTTTAGGATGGGCGAAGTAAAATTTATCTTTTTTTTTCGAGGGTGTACTTTCGCAAAAGTCCACGTTTTACATTTGCATGAAATAATGCTGCAGATGTACGTCTCTAGTAGGGTTATTTTTTCTGATGCAACTAATTTGATTATATTATAAAATATAGGCATTTTTTAAAAAATAATTTGAATAGACAAAAAAAAAAAAAAATGAAAAAAAAAACGTAGAATAAAAATTTAGCAATAGTTGTATAGTTATTATTATTATAATTTATTTTTTTTTTTTTAAAATTAAGAAAAAAAAATAATAGTAAAATTGTAAATCCACAAAAATAACACAAACGATTTTAATTTGTTCATTGTGTTTTTGAAATATCTGTAAAATTAGTGTAATGACCGTCAAAAATATTCATTGTAAAAGCTCTATGGAAAAGCTTATTTTATTTATTTTACCATTACCTACCTAATATTTTTTATTATTGTATCTAAAGAAAAATATTATATATTATTGTAAACGAAATTTATTCCCGTCACCTTTGGCGACTGCAAATCACAAAATTACACGACTCAAAGGACCTGTATACCGTGGAATCATTATCATATTGTAATATCGTATAGTGTATAATAATTAAACTCTACATAAGGTTTATTTGACCATACTTGGACCGTGTACTTGTTTTTATTCGTTCGTCCGCCTATACCAAATATCCTTTACACCGCTTCTTCTTCTGCTACGCCGCCACAGGCGTATAATATTAACCGAATAATGGTATTTATTACAGCAACACACAACAAAAATTTTAATTTGTCACCCACACAAATACATATAGTATTTTATCTGAAACGTTAAAAATCCGCGTTCAGAATACTTTAAAAGACTGCGACAACGGGTATATTTTAAACGCAAAAATTGTTCACAGAAAAAACGATTGCCGAAATATTTTTCCGCTAATACATACATTTCGTACATTTTCCCGTTTTTTCACCGGTTTTTTTTTTCGATTTTTCACATTTGTTGAGAAAACTTCTGGGAAAATCGAAAAATGACCTCCTAAATTACCACGGAGATAAAATTTCCTTTCGGAAAATGAGTTACACTCGATACATCAGAGTAAGATATCCGGTAGAAAAGTTTGCACGATCAATCAAAGGGTATAATTTGTCAATTAAAATAGTCCGAGCGAGCGATAGCTGGGTATTTAGGTACACATAAAATGCATTTGTTTTTTCCCTGTTTAAGTAAAATGGAAAAAATAAGGGCACACATTTTTTTTTTTTTTCAAAACATGGGTTTAAACCCGTAGAACCTCGCGAACCCCAGGATGAAACTAGGTATGTATACCATTCAGCTATAACAAATATACGAGTTGACAATATTATGTTATTTAACATAACATATAATATCCGCATAATATCAAAAATTCAAAAAGCTATAATTTCAAAACCAAATCAGTCCGTTCAATTCTGACTTTACCACCGTTCTTAAATCGGCAATATACACATGTTCATAAAAAGAAAAATATTGAAAGATTAGATTTGTTCCACATAATGTTTTACTCAAATGGTTTCCATCAAAATTGAATATTAAAATTCCTATATAAAAAAAAAAACAATATTGCATTAAACTCAATTTTTTATTTTTAACCACAAATTGAGACTTTTAATAAACCTCCTGTTAAATTGTAAAGCATTACTGCTAAGTCTAACGATTTTACCACAGAGTACTTATCGAATAAAAATTATGTACAAAACTTGTAAAATTAAAATATCTATAAATATTTCAAAAATGACTTAAATATTTTAAAATTTTTACCACCTCTATAAATAGTAAATATAAGTTTTCTTTCTGAATTTCAAGTATCTACGAATATTTTTAACTGAATTACAACAAATAATAAAATAATTATTTTCATAAATTTCCCGTTTTTCTTACGTTTTATCCTGGCTTGTCCCAGATATTATGAAAACCACTTAGAAAATTAAAAAAATGACCTTCCGAATGTACCGTCTCGACAACATTCCCTTCCAGAAATTGTACCGCTCGTAAATATCTGAGCAACATTTCTGGTAGAATTTTCGTACACTGGATAAAAAAATAAACATCTTGGTAAAAATAATACATTCTTCGCTACACTCAGAATCTCAAATTATAGAAAATATATAAAAACAAAATTAGAGTGATAAAAGTTAAATATAAAAGTAAATATAACGATAAAAGTTATTATTTTTGTCATACCTGTTTGCTAATTTTTTAACCTGGTGGTTAGCCGAATCCCTGTACTTCTTTTTTCGTTATATCATTCATTCCAGATCGATACTACTCATATTTAATTTCCTCCAAATTCTATTGACTTTAGAGGCATTCAATAAATTTCCATTATATGCATGTGGGAAACTAGACCACTATGGGCACATTAAAGATCTATTGGAGCTATTCCTCCATAATTCCCTTTACGCAATAGTTCTCGCAATAGTCAACTACACCTTTCATTTACCATTTCGTATATACAAACTTATCATGGTTATTTTAACATTGTTTTTCATACACACATGCATTGTCTGTGGGAAATCTGTATTTTTTTCTGTTCATTAACTATTTATGAAATATTTGGTCATTACTATGAAAAACCTGATTGGGTTAGGGGTGCTAAAGACCTCCGAGCATCCCCCTCCCTAGTTGTGCCTATGGTTACATGTATTGTACTGCCCGTAATCCCATTCGTAATCTCGAATTGTATCCTAAAATATTCACTCATTATGTTTTCGCTCTTTTACTTTCGCTCTATTGTCTGGATGCAATCTATTGTCTCGCCTTGCAGAATGGCCGGAGGTATTGCAGAGTATTATACCCCCTACATATTACATACGGCAATCAACGACGTGGAGAAGGCGGAGCCTGCGGCACAACGGTATACGTCACATTATTAGGTATTGTGTATCGGTTGTTTGCAACAAACACGAAGAAGCTACCACGATTATAATATAAAAACATTAACGTATACAACAAATAAACAATACATTTAATGTTTAACGTCGTTATAACAGTTCTGTATCCGAGCGGATACGGTAGGTACCGATGACAGGAAGACGAAGTCGATAAATTTTACTTTACTGCGGTACTGCAATATAATATAATATTATGCTCGACTATTCTCTCGATTTTCGATACGAAAAAAAAAAAAAATTAAATAAAAAGAAAAAATTATTCCGACGGATACGCTAGAATGTAAGTTTACAATAAAGAAATTAAATAGAGCTGATACTGGGGATTGGAGTGGCCACTATTGTAGGTGAAAAGTTGGAAAGGTAGGAAACATAAGGTTCACGATAAACCATTGTTTGACGAAAGACGATCCCGAGCGCAGTTCGGCAATACATAATTTGAAGTACAGTAATTTTTTTTGCGATTTTCGTTTAAATTTATTCCAAAACGCTTATTAAAAAAAAAATTCAACAAATAAGGTCTCTTGTCGTTTTTCAGTTAGAGTCATATTTGTGCTAGAAAACGTGGTAGATACTTATTTAAAATAACGAAATCGTGAAAAAATAGTAATTTTTTTCCTGGCTAATCGTTATTATTTTAAATACCGTTTCGGAAATCAAAAAATGACCTATGCATCAGACCAAGTTTTGTAGGACAAAAGTGGTCTACAGCATAAAAAAACAAAAATAGTCCGATGATTTTGTAAATTTTACGACGTTTCGGTAAATCCAAAGTATTATTACCAAGTTTCAAGTCTCTATATGTATTTATAACTGAATCACAGCAGAAAACTCTCAAATATTAAAATTCCTTAAAAGCTCAAAAATGGCTCAAAATTTTTGGCGACAATTCTATAAGAAAGCAAATCAAAAAGCCAACAAAAAAGATATTTTATGTTTTTTCGATTAAATCATTTTTTCTGGTAAAAAATGTCTTCCGTGTTTTTATAAAAAAATGAAATCGTGATATTGTACGTTTTCTAAAAATGACCTGTTTAAAGTACAATCTAGACAACTTGAGCTTTCAGGAAAGTTGTAACATGGAGAAATCGGAGTAAGTTTACTAGGAAAAAACGTGTCCACAGAGTAGAACAAAGAAAAAAATAAACATTTTAGTAAAACCAATAGCTCCCTACGCTCGAAATTTAAAATATAACAAGTTAAAATAAAACGTATCGTACGCTGTAGTACGTGTAATTTTTGTTGCAAAACATTTGGGTAGGTACAATTCAATGAATAATAAAAAAATGTTTTTTTTTTTAAATATTCTGTTTGAACGAATTTGTCTAATGGTCTCCACAGTTTCTCCACTATTCTTCGTTGTATTGAAGTTTCACCGTACTACTGTATACGCGTTTCGGAATCGAATTTATAGATAATTCTGGAAACGTATTGTTTACAGGTAATAATTAAGACACGTAAGTATATATTCTATAAGAGATAAAAAAAAAAAAAAAAAGAGAGAATAGGTGTCTTTCGATTACCAACAGTTTATCGGAGCTGTCAATCTTAAAAATATAATATTAAATTAAATTAACCACAGACCTGCGTCAGGCCGGACAGACAAATGCATACAGGTGCGGCGAAAACGCAATCGGTATAAACCGCAGCCTTGAATACGTATAATACAGAAAACTCCTTTGTTTGTATTCGGAGGAGCGTAGCGGGATTTGACGCCGATTTTCAATTATAGCACTTTTCTGAAAAGAGACCTGACTTGGGTGGTACTTTAAGGAATTAATTTTTTGATTCCCCCAGTAATATTTGCAATAAATGGGAAAAACAGAGGAAAACCGGGAAAATGTATGAAATGGAAGTTTTAGTAAAAAAATATCACGGCCTTAAATACGGCCTATATACGTGATAACAGATTTTAAAATAGCATTTTGAAAATCTATTGCAGTATATTTATTTTATTTTCTATAATTTTTCTTATAATAAACAATACATTTTTTAAAGTAGTTATCTGTGGACTAATTTTCTAGCGTGTTTTTTAATACACATATATCTCTTAATTTTTTACATACATTTCTTAGAAAGTGATTTCTACATTGGGCTATTTTTTGTTTTTTTTTTTTTGTAGGATTTGTGTACGGACGTGAATCTAAAATAAGCTTATAAACATTAATATATTCATCAACTATAAAATATTTGCGATATCGTAATCCATATTATGCTTGTTCACTTTCTGTGAATCTTTCTACTATTATTGATGTTTTCATTCATGACGAGCCATCTGACGATTTTCAGTTTATGAGACATGTATGATTTTTTGGCTTATCCCCATCTTTTGTTCTAGCACACGTCAAACGAAATGTATTATTGACGTCCATAAACAACACTTTTATATTCCGAGTGAAGTAAAGAAGCAATTATGGTTTTACAATGATTTTTAATTTTTTTTTTCTTTTGTGGATAACTTTTCTACCAGCAATTTTGCTCCGATTCAAAATTATTTCTGAAAGTAAAATTGACTGGGCAAAGCAACACTATTAACCGTACTTCCCTGAGAATCGTTTTTCGTTAGCGATGGTTAATCGTTGCGTACAGGTATAAATTGAATTTCCCATCTACCTTCTCAACTTCGCACCTATAACAGTGGCCCACCCGTCGTGTGAAGTATGTCCGTCTTCTTTTCTTTTTTTTTACATGTACATATTATATCATAAGTATTTACGTTTGATCAGGTGCAAGATAAATTAGTATAGACTTTAATTTAATATACAAATACCATTTTCT